GTGCGTACGTACGTGCGTGCGTGCGTGCGTGCGTGCGTGCGCGCGTGTGTGTGCGCGCGCGGTTTCCGTCGGTCGTCGCGACGCGACGCGACACGACACGCCACACGGTCCGCGTGCGGTGCGGTGCGAGGCGCGATCCCCGACGGGAAAATAATGGCGTAGACCTCTGGGCTCCGCGCTCCGGAAACGACAGAGAAAAAGAGCGAGAGAGAGAGAGAGCGAGCGAGCGCGAGAGGCGAACAAGGGAGAGGAGGAGACGCGCGGAGTGCGACAACGAGGGAAGGAAGAAGGAGCGAGAGAGAGAGGGAGACGCGCGGCCGCGCTCACACTCGTCCGTGTCGTGGCGGTGGCCGTGTCGGGAGCGCAGCCGATCGCTCGCGTCGCCTCCTCGCCGTCGGCCGACGTAGATTCTCGTCGCGAGCGAGCGAGCGAGCGGAGCGGAGGGCAACGAGTCGCGCGGTGTCGGTGTGTGCAGTGCTGCCGGAGAAGAGAAGAGAGATAAAGAGGAGTTTGTGCGGAACGCGTCGGTTCTTTCCTCGTCGCGGGCGACCCTGTTGCTGGCGAGCGCGCCGCGCCGCGCCGCCCCGAGCCGCCGTCGCCGTCGGGGCTTCCCCGTTTTGTTGTTTGTGCTCCCGTCCTCGCGCGCGGGAGAGGAGGTGGTTGGTGCAGCGAGGCCGACGCCAGGTATCCAGCGCGGCCAGTGTCCCGACCGCATCGGGGATATTGTACTACGATGCTCAGTGACACGTGCGGATACGTTCTCTTCCTGCTGCTGCTGCTGCTGGTCCCGTACATCGAGAGCGGTGAGTGTCGCTATGTGTTACCGCGGGGACGCCGTCGTTCTCGGTCTTGGCCTTCGGGCGCCGCGCGCAGGACGCGCGAGCCACTCGCGCGCGCTCGTCCCGTGCGTGTGCGCGCGGCTGCGTGCGTGCGTGCGCGCCTCTCGTGAATCATCACGTTCTCTCGCGAGGAGCCCGCCTGTCGCGTGTCTCCGCGCGCCGCGCTCTCCTCCCAGCGAGACGGGCCTCCTCGAGCGACGCGAAAGGAGTATCGGAGTCGCGTTGGGACAACGCAAACATCCCGTTGTCCCATGGACCCGGTTTTAATGTATCGCGCAGAAAAGTATCTCACTAACGTAGGTAGATTTCCAAGTGTCGCAACAACAATTTATCGCTATTTCGTGTACAGTCTAATCTACAATGTGCTCTCTGCGTCTAGAAGCATTTTATTTTGTAGACGATAAACACGCTTAAACAATTTGTGCAAGTTGACAAGTTGTATATCATACAGGGTGATTCAGGACCTCACCGACCGCGACCGCGATGGTCCTAGGTGACATTTATTGTGAAATAAATTATTTATTTATTGTTTCAAGTACACTTGCTTTACAGAAGGTGTTCAAAGTGTCTACCCTGAACCTCTGATTGCATTCAATACATCGTCGTATAACATTGATTGTCGGACTCTATCGAATATTCGAGGTCTGTTTCGAATTTGGTCAAAACCAGCGCATATTTGTACAATTAATTCCACTCTGGTGTCAACTGGTGTGGTGTACACGACACTCCTCACGTGTCTCCGAAGGGAAACAATCCACGAGCGTTAAGTCGGGCCTACGTAGATAGATTCATTTCACAATTGTAATAAATGTCACCTAGGACCTTCGCGGTCCTGAATCACCCCGTACATTCACCTGTGTGAAGTTAGCACCCCATTTTTGGAATTTCAAAATTCTAAAAGTTGTTCCAGGTTGTTCTAGACTAGTTCCAAATTGTTTCCGAAGATCAAATTTATATTATGGAAATTTTCGCGGAAAATTAAAAAAAACGATTTTTCTACCTGGCACCCCATTTTTCGAAAATCCAACTTTTTAAAGTTGTTCCAGAGGTTGTTCTAGTTGTTCTAAACATCGTACATTCTCTCTACAATTTTTGGAGTGACATTTGGCGTCACTGACCACTTCACTCTGACAATAAGACAAAAAGTGAAGAATCTCACTTTTATTTTTAAAGTGACGTCGTTAGCACTCCAAAATTCACTCCAACTTAAGGGGATGCTGGAGTGATTCTGCACCTTTGCACCTTTTGCACTTAAAACTCCGCTTCGCGGAAACATTTGTGTAATATACAAATTAAATGGCTTACGTGTACAGATCGAAAGCAGCTTGCTACTACGGCTAAATTAAAGTACAATATGGCATGACTGAAACTAAGTGTGTAAGTCTAATAAAAAGTAATAGCGAGCAATACACACATACAGTACATACATGTAGTACGTGTGTCGCTCGCTAGTGTAGTTTACGCGAGTACGCGAGTTGACAGGCCCTCAGATTTTCGGATCTCAACAACGGCTGATCCGTTGAACTTCTAAGTAAGCTCAATCGAAAGCTTGGGTTCGATTTGCACAATAAAAGTGTTTTTATTTTCCTCCTACGTGACCCATGAGTGGAGACATTGCGACGCAAACATAGGATTTCTGATTTTTCATTTCAGAAACGTCGTCGTCGTCGTCGTCGTCTTGGTTAGTTAATAACGAGCCGTTAAGGATGAAAGTGCAAGAAATATATTTATGAAATCAAATATGCGGATATGCAAACGTTTCGACAATGCTATGCCATAATCAGTGCTATTAGTTAAAAACTTAACATAAATAGAAAAACGGTATAAATTAAGGATGTTAGATGACGATTCTCGCATCTAACAGATGACGCCTATTAATTTAGCAGAAACACCGCTATTTCATATCAGGAGCCTGTCTCGTAACGGGAAACTTTCCTCTATGTATATCTGTTATTTTTTCGTACCTAGAAAATTGTTGTTGCAGATGAATTTTTCGAGTGTATTCCAGCGCGAAACGAGTCATTGTGAGAATCGGTTGAATTTGCGACGAATTTTATCGTTCGTGGAATGGCGCGATTCGCGCAGAATTGCAGATTAGCTGACGTAATCGGAGTCGAGTATTGTAAGATGTCTGTTCCACCTAGACACCCTTCTACGTTCGTGGAAGAGTGAGATAGCCTATATTTCTCTCTCGCTCGCAGGAATTTTGACGAACTCTCATGATCTGATTACAGGGTCTCTAATCCCGCCGTCCAGACTTGTTACACTTGGGCTCGGTTTCACCAACGTCGCTGAACTTTAAGCTTAATTTATCCTTTGTCACCTTCCAATTGTTCCCCAGAAAGAGGCAAACAATGAATTAAACTGAGATAAACGGCGCCGGTGAAACCGGGCTTTCTGTCCATTTCTATCGACGTAGATTAACTTTAATCTCGGTATCTTGCGTTTTATCTTCTTCTGATTCTTAGAACTGGAAGGAGATGAAAAGTTAGTTAAAAACTAAACGCGCTATATAGCTGATTAATAAATATCGCTAGAAATGAGCATCGATAGAATTTACTCTGTAGCTGCTTTCATCGGACACGCAGCTGCGAGACGCACGTTTAAATGAGATTTCGAAAGTTTTCTTTTGTTAACGCGTTCCGAAACACACAGCTACTCGTCGCATTTTCGTGACTCTCCGAAGAACTTGCCGGAATCTGTAAAGGCGCTCGGAGCATGCAATTGTGCGATAAATCGTGCGAGCAACACGAAGATCCGAAACTTTGATAAGTATATTACATACCACTGAACATTGAATGTTATAAAAGAATATTCGGATGGCCGAAGCTTTACACGTACGCGGTATTTACGTAACCGACTCGAAACTCAACTCGGCCCCCATTGTTGCGTCGAATCGACGATAACGTTGTGCAAATTTATCCATTCCCGTTCTCCAAGTCAATATACATACACATTTATCGTTTTTATCCCGCTTAAACTGCCCGGTGGAGAGATGATAAATGTTTTCTTTTTCCCCGCCGTGTATAATAATAATATTAACGCGGCGCATGTGCCACGTTATCAAATAACAAGCATTTTCTCGGATACTATAATGATTTGTTTTTCGGTTTTTTATTACGACGTATTCCCCACAAAGGGCCAGTTATAATTCTTCCCTTTGAAACGTCGCGCTGGGAGGAAACGCGACGCGACGAATCGTCATTTCCATCGGAATTTCGAGCACGTTAAGAAATCCCGTTGAATACAATGCCGAAGTGAATCACAGACGAAGAGCATGAATCACCCTCATAATCAGATCACTGTCCAACCTTGCTCCCACGGCCTTTGCAGTCCAGTCGAACGTCGCTGCGCGTCGTCGGATCATTCGACTTTGAAACTCGTCATTTTTTTACCTTTCTTATCGTTTTAATCGAAGTTGACGTAATCTTTGACTCGCCCATTCGTTGCCCCTAGCAACAGTCCGATCGAATGCGAACGACCGCGTTTTTGTCTCTTAACAATTTCGAAAGTAACAAGCTGATTTTTTAAATTACGAGGCACACGCGAAGTATCGTATTAATTCGGGAAAGAGGGCGAAGCACCTGCGCTGTCCCGAACTTTTCCGCTGGTGCAGAGATCAGCGATGGAAAATTAATTCTTCACGCCCAGACTCGACTGAACGAAGGTCGCGCGAGACAGCGAGAACAATCCGAGCTGTGGAGAGATCCGCTCGAGATCGCACGCCGAATCCGTCGCGCGAGTCCTCTCTTTCCCTTTCGGATCCGCGACGCGATGTGAATGGCCCTCGACGGAAGTCGCAATCAACGATCACCGGCCGCGCTCGACGATAATCGCACGCGCGTGGTGCGCGGCTGCACGTCATCGCACCATTTACGGTTACGGGGAAGAACGTGCGTTTCCGACCGCGCGAGGTTTCCACCACAGACTTCTGTATACTACTAGACTGCCACCTCCGAGCTGAAAAGTGAGGCAAGAGTTCCGCCATGGCTAGTTGGGTAAATAAAGTAGTATGTGTGCATCGGTGTGTCACTGACATATTTGCCTAACAAGACATGGCGAAACTCTTGCTTCACTTTTCAGCTCGAAAGTAGCAGTCTAGTAGTAGGGCAAAGAGGCGCCTAATATATCGCCTACCTAAATTCAAATCGTTCTCACTTAAAGAGTAATTGACATTTTTGTCTGTATTTAGTCTCAGATGAAATGAATCTTTCACTATTTTAACTATTACCATCAATTTTAATTTTATCAAATGAAAGAGGAAACGTTTGTGGTTTCTTTTTTTAAGTTTACCCTCTTGCGGGAACGCCTTTCGACCGTTAGGTCATATCAGCGTGATATCTCTAAAAATTCCTTGAAATTCATACTTACAATTAATATTGATTAAACACTGAACCCAACACTAGGCGCTGAAACTCCTTCAAGCACTGAATTTTTCAAATTTCCCTTAACGGGAAAATATACGGGACGAGAGCCGGGATCGAACCGAGGACCCTACCATTACTAATCACTCATGTTAGCACAGAGCTACACATCATCCTAACATTTGTGTTTCACAATATGTTAGAATGGATAAAATCTAAAAAAATTTAATTCACATTGAAAAGAAACAAAAATAGCAAAATCGGGGGTTTGAAAAAATGGCACCAACTGAGCACTTCACTCTAAGACAAAAAGTGAAGAAGTTTACTCTTATTTTTAAAGTAAAGTCGTTAGCACTCCAAAATTCACTCCAACTTAAAGTACGGTACTCCGCCACTAGATAGCCGCCAAACTCGCAAGTACGATCACGATAGCCCGGCATATAAGGGACCTCGTCACGAGCCGGCACAGTTCTTCCGCGACAATCGGCATAATAAGCGAAACTGTTACATAAAGTATAGATTTTCAGTGCTGGCTGTGAATATTAAAATGCAGCCTCTATATGCCACGATCATATGTGAACAAACAATAGCGAGGCTCTC